TGGCGTCTGGCATTGACCCCCCAGCACCTTGCACACAGGCCCCCTTGCACAGGCTCAGGGACAGACCGGCCACTCCGAGCCCGGGTCACTCACTAGCACCTGCCGGACCTTGGGCAGGTCCCTCAGCAGGTGTTGGAGGAACCATGTGACCACCTCGAGCCCCAGTTTTGTTCAGCGTGTGTGACGTGCAGGTTAGAAAATCGTGGTGTGTCTGAAAGGCTTCTCAACGCCAGGAGACTCGGCTCGCTCTCCCTGCCTCGGGAGGGACAGAAAGGGGCCAGTGCTTCATTCTCACCCACGAAACCGCCCCCCCGCGCCTCGTGCGGGCGGTCTTCACTGTGACTGCAGCTGCGGGGCCCGTGGGTGGGCGCTGGTTTCTGTTCTTCCCGCGGCCACGCCCTGAGCGCAGGTGGGGAAATCACAGCTGTGCCCACGGACTGCCCCCCTGCCTCGGCACTTCCGCCGGGACTCGGCCGCTGTCACTGATCCGAGGAGGAGAGCGACAAGGGCTCAGGTCCTGGGAGCAGCTCGGCCTTGGCTCCTCGGGGTGTGCCGGCCCCCACTTGGTGCCAGCGTGCGGGCTGGAGGGGTGGGGCGCCTCACAGCCTGCCTGTGGAGCCCCAGACCCAGGCACGAGAGCAGGTGCAGACACGTGGAGCTCAGCCTCTCCGTCTGAGGCTGATGGAGGAGGGTTCTCCGTCTCCTCCTCACCTTCCTCTCGCTCGCTTCTCTCTCATCCCATCGTTTCGGCCAAGGAAGGAGGATAATTCATCCCTCTTTGGTAGCAGAGCCAAAGACCCTCAGCAGTCGCGTCCAGGGTCTGGTGGGGGTGGGGGGTGCACAGCACACCCCGGGGGAAGAAGCCCCGGCGTGCAGGCGGGCCCCTCCGGGGCTGGTCGGCCTCCAGGCCTGTGTGCAGGCCGGATTCGCAGGGCCAGGCTTGTTTACGGGGCCGAGGACCGGGCACAGTCACCTCGCCCAGCGCGACACCTCCGCACCCTCCCCGCCCCCTCCCCCCCACGCTCACCTCGAAGGAAATGAGAAACCCCACGACCAGCTCCGGTCACCCAGAACCCCCAGACCCGCCGCCAGTCACGCGTGCGCAGCCCTCGGCGGAGGGGGCGGGCCGCGGCGCGGGGGAGTAATTGGTGAACCCGAGGTGAATGAAATAATTGGAAAAGTGAGGTGTGAGTTCGTTACCGGAGTGCGAGCGTGGTGAGGGAGGGGGGGAGGGCCGTGTTTCAGGGCCCGGTGTGTCCCTCTCATTCACAGCTTCGGATACAGTAATTGCTATTTTGTGGTTTCTATTATCCACACAGTGGGGAGCACGGCGCCTCCTTCCCCCAGCGGCGGCGCAGTCCGGGTGCGTGCGGGCAGGAGCTGCCGGTGCCCCGGGATCTGGCTCCCCCTGCGGTCCCACGCCCTGCCCGGCCTCCCCCCGGGGACGGCCCCTGCTCCCGGGGGGACGAGGGTTCACGCGCAACTTCCTCCCAAAGCCACTCTTAAAAATGGTTCCGTGGGCTTTGCTGTCAGATAAGAACCTTAATAATGGCTGGTATTTATATATCGCTTATCTCCAAGGAGCTAAAGGTACTTCATCGATTTTTTTTTCCTCCCCCAGCCCTTTTTTTTCCATTTTAATTCTCTTCGCTATCTCCCTGAGATCACCGGAATCAGTCAGCCTTATGTCGCCGCACTTGGTCGTGTGGGAACCGCAGCCCCCACTTGCCTGGCGCGTTCCTGCACGGGGAGGGCCGCGCCGTCTGGGCTGCGACCCCCGGGGCCTCGGGGCCCGGGCAGGTCACGTCGCCTCTCTGGCCCTTGGTTTTCTCATCTACAGAACGGGCGGCGTCTCCACTACCCCTAATCATTGCCCCTGGACGCGGTACAGTTGAAAGCCTCGGCCCCTCACAGGCACCCCGGGCGCTGGTGCCCAGGGCGACGGCAGCAGGGATGGCGTCTGGCAGTCGCCGACTCGCACGTCAGGGCCTCGCAGCACCGGGCAGTCCCTCGTGAGAGCTGACCCCGACCGCCCAGCTGCTCTCGGGCCCCAGCTCCGCCTCACCCTCGTCTCAGACCGGAGGGGAAGTGAGCTCGCCGCCGCCACCTTCCTGGTCTCCTGGGGAATGACGGGGACAGGGAGCTGCTCGGGCCTCGGGGCGCAGCCTGACGTTTGCTCTGCCGAGGCCTGCCCAGAGACCCCAGGCAGCGGCCGTGACCTCCCGCCCCGCCCACGGCCCCTCCTGGGTCCGCAGGACCCTCCTCTGTCACAGCTCCCGCTGCCGAGCTCTTGAATGCCACTTCTCCAGGCCACGCAAGCGTGGCTCCTCCAGCCTCTCCTCATCCGCTTCTTTCTCCACCTTTTAATTATTTTCCTCGCCTTCCCCCGGACCCTCAGCTGCTTGCCATGCACAGAGCGTCCACAGCTCGCAGCACGCCGCGGAGAGGGAGGGACTCGCCTCCCAGCCTCTCTCCCCTCCCTCCTCTCCCTCTCTCGTTCTAGCTCTCTCTCCCCTTCCACTGCCCACCGACACGCAGGCTGGCTCGCCGCCCACTGCAGAGGGCTCGGGGACACCAGGGCAGAGGCCACTGAGGCCGCCAGGGCACAGGACCGTGGCCCCTGGGGGCAGAGGCCGGAGGTCTGCGCGCAGTGAGGGTGGGAGGACCGGGGACTCGGTCAGCCTTTCTTGTCCCAGGGTCTTGGGCAAACCACTGGACCCCTCGGACGACCACTCAGGGCGACCCTCGCCGCCCCGTTCCTGAAAGCAGCCAGTCCCCCCACCTCCCCAGGTTACTGACGTGGACGGGACGTGGTGCAGCAGCAGGAGACTCAACGTCAGACACTCCCGTGGTCATACTCTGGCTCTGCCACGTCCTAGCAGGACAGCCGCCTCCCTGAGCCTCAGTGTCTTTATCTGTCAGATGGGCGCGGTGAAGCCGGGACGCACTCCTGCGGCTCCGGCCAGTCATCCCCGTCCCAGCACCGAGTGCAGGCCTGATGCGAGTCCCAGTGACCAGTACCGGTGACCGGGGCCCCTCCAGGGCTGCCGTCTGCTCAGTGGGTCACTTCAGACACACTGCCAGGCGTCCACTCCGAGCCGGCACCCGTCTCCTCGCCGCGGGCCTGGCGGCGAGCAGGCGGGTGTTTTTACTGTGGTGGAGCTGAGTTCCAGCCCCGGGGGAGGCGGGCAGCTACGCAGGCGTCCGCCCCACGGTGCCCGGCCCAGCCATCGGCTGGCAGAGCGGCACGGGCTGCTCAGGGCGAGCCGGGGTGAAGCGAGGGCCCGCGAGAGCCCGGGGCCGGTGTGGACAGCGGGCGGAGAGACCAGCACGGCCACAGGCCGTCTTCGGCCGGGTCTGCACGGGACTGAGCATGGCCCAGGCGCCCGGGAGGTCTCGCCCGGCCTCCCTGTGCCCCGTCACCCCTGGGCTCAGTGCTCGCAGACGCCCGTCCTTCAGGCCCTTGGGTGCACCGGCCCTGCAGCCCCTGTGTCTCTGAAGAGCTCGAAGCCCGAGGACCATTTACCGGAAGGCCCCTGCGAGGGGCCTGAGCCGTCCCCTGCCCGCCCGGCCCCGCGCCGGCCCCGGCAGAGGCGCAGGGGCTCCGTGGAGCGAGAGAGGCAGCGTGCCTGTCACTGGGCGCGGCTGCCTTTAGGTGGCAGGAGCAGGCAGGGTTTGTGTTCCGGACTCCTCAGCTCCCTCACGTCACCCCCTGCCCGCCCCACCTGCCCGGCCCCTGGGCCCCCTGCCCGCCCCCTCCGCGTGGGCCGGGGAGACTGACAGGGCTCCACCGCCCGTCCCCCCAGCCCCTCCCCTGCCTGGGAGGCCGGCCTCGTTGCCAGCGGCCCAGCCCTGCCGCCCGCTCAGAGAGGCCCCGGGCGGGGGAGCGGAGCCGCGGCAGAGCTCCGCGGAGACGTGCAGGCTCATTTTGAGGACTCATAATGTCGCGTCTGCACACCTTCCCGGCTCCGGAAATTGGGCCGGCAGATGCCTGGTCATGCGGACAGGCCGTGGGTCAGCGCCCCGGGTCCAGCTTACACCGTTGCGCGGGAGCCGACGGCCTCCAGCGTGGCTCTTACCCAATCGGCCTCTGGCCCCGGAGCGTCTTGGATCGGCGTGCGCCTGCGCGTGTGCCCGGGTGCCCGCGAGAGTGTGTCGATTTTCAAATAAAAGAATATCTCTCCGCAGATGCCGGGCACGTTAAATATTTATCAGCAGCCGTTTGCACATATACGTTTGATAAATGGACGTTCGGATGGGGCTGGGGCTCCAGAGAGGCTGGAGGGAGGGAGGTTTGGTCCTTTTGTCCGGGAGTTATCAGGGGTTGATGCAGGGGGGCCAGGGCGGTCCCGGCCACGTCGACCTGTCTGACCCCCGCCGGGGGGCCAGGCCGTGTGCTTCTGCAGAGCCTCGCCCGACGCAGGCGGGGAAGACGGGACGACGGCAGTGCCGAGCGGGGAGGTGGCGTGTAGAGGGAGTCGCTGGGCGTCACTGGGGCGTCTTGCGCTGAAGACAGGTCCCAGGTGCTGGGCTTGTTCAGTGCGGAGCCCCGCTTTGCCGGGAGACCCCCACCCCCGACCGGCCAGCACACTAGCAGCCCTCGCCTCCCCGGCCTCCCACTCGCGAGGTGCAAGGCTGACACCCCGTGGGGCTGGGGCCAGGGGAGGGCAGGTGTGCCGGCCGGTCAGCGAGGAACCAATTGTCCTCCGTGGGCATCTGCCACCCGCTGGTGCCCCTGTGCCCGGCGCAGTGGCCGGGGCCTGAGGGAGGAGGCTGCTCACGCCCCGGAGTGCGTGCGGACTGGGCAGGAGTGACACGGGGTGTGCACGCGTGTGCACGTGCACATGTGTGCCTGCCAGTGTTTCGCGTGCCCAACGGGAAGGACGGGGCCCCTGAGTATCGGCCCCACCCCCTCCCCCTCCCCCTCCCCCTCCCCCTCCCCCACCCCCTTCGCAGCCCTCCCTCCTGAAACTGCCGTGTGCTTTGCCTTCTGTCCCCAGCACCTTCGGGGAGCTGAAGACCGTCCGCTTGCCGAAGAAGATGGCAGGGACGGGCTCGCACCGCGGGTTCGGCTTCGTGGACTTCCTCACCAGGCAGGACGCGAAGGTGAGGCGGGGCTCGGGGCTCTTTCTCCCGTTGGTCGTCCCCTCGCCTTGGGGTTGGGGGGGAGACCCAGGGTTCTGTGTCTGGAGGAGGGGCAGTCTGTGTCCTCCTCCCACTCCCCACGTCATCCATGCAGGGACCTGGGGTGCAGAGTGGGGGAGTGAGGGCGCTTCCCAGGCCTCCCCAGATCAGACGGGAAGCCCCTAGGTCGTGAGCCCCCCAACCCGGGTCGGCACACGGAGGAGCCGTGCAGGGGGCACTCAGGGACCACTCTGGCATGGAGAGTCCAAGGTCCCCGAGTGGGGACCCACGGGGACACGTCCTTCCCTTCGTCCTTCCTCCTGGTGGCTGGGGCTTCTGTTTGGAGCTGGTCGCAGCCCAGGCAGGTGCTGCTGTGCGCAGAGTCCCCCGGGCTCCTTGGCGACACGGGACACCCTGTACGTCTGAAGCACAGCAGCCTCCGCATGGAGGTGCCAGGGAGCACGTGGGGCTTCGTCCCCGCGGTGGGAACCGGCTGGGCGCCCGCCCGGCCAGCAGTGGGCGCGGGGCAGACACTGTGACGGGTTCCCTTCGTCCGTGGCTGCCGCCCTGGCAAGACCAGGTCAGCCCCTCGGGGAGGTGGCCGTGGCAGTGACGCTGTCGTCTGTTGTCATGGGTGCCCTCCGTGAGCCTGTGCCCTGGGGTTGCGTTGCCTCTAGGCCTTGTGTTTTGGGGGGTCACAGTAGAGCCATGCGCAGGTCTCCCTAATGGCGGGGAGCCCCCCGCCTCCAGGAACCCTTGTCCTGTAGCCAGTCGGCGTTGCCAGAGGCCCAGTGTGGGAGGGGGCCGAAGGAGGTACCCCAGAGACATGTCTGCAGCCTCCGTGGGTCCTGGGGACACGCGCAGGCCGAGAGGGCTCCCCGAAACCTCGGGGAGCCTTGCCAGCCACCTTTGTCTCGGCGCCTCGAGCTCCAGTGCCTGTTTGTGGGCACGTGGCCACGTTTGTCCAGACGCCCACTCCCCTCTGTCTGGCCGGCAGCCCACCCTCACCTCCCGTGGTGGCGGCGTCGGCTCAGGGGAGCCAGGCGGCAGCCGTGCAGAGCTGACAGCTCGGCTTTCCTGGCCCCGCACCTCAGTTTCCCCGTCTGTCAAAGAGGGATGCTAACAGGGGCCCCCCACGGGGGAAGGCGGGGGGCGCACAGGAAACCCGGGCACCGGACCTGGTGCACCTGCGAGCCGTTCCCCCCAGCCCAGGCCCCTTCGGAGCGGCCGGCCTTCCTCCCAGGACGGGGAGAGGGACGCGGCGCCAGCGCAGGGGCCGCCCGTCAGAGCACAGGCTCCAAAGCCGCGCCGCCCAAGTGTGGGCCCTGGCGCTGCCCCCACCTGCCCCGCCACCTCGGGCGAGGTCTCCGTGCGCCGCACCCGCCCTCGGGAAGCGGTGTCGGGGTTTCCGTCATGGAGTCGGGAGAGGCCGGGACGGGGTGCTGTCTTTAGAAGTGCCCGGGGCCCACCGAGCTCTGCCTGGTGGCTCTGAGGAGGGGGACGGTGACCGCGGCGACGGCGGTGCTGCTCCGGATGGGGAAGGAGCCCGCCTCCCACACACGGCCTCTCGCCACGGCCGAGGCTGGCGTCAGGGTGGACGTGGCCCCCGGGGCCACGCAGCGTGGACCTGCTGTTGGCTCCCAGCCTTGAGGCGTCGTGCACCCCTCGGCCAGGACTCGGCAGCGGCGGCAGAACAGAAGAGGGTCCCGGTGGATGGGCAGCGCGCATGCCCGGATGGCCTGTGAGCCGCACCGAGGCCAGGCTGCCGATGCTCTCCCAAAGCCCAGCACAGCTTCCGGTGGTTCGCAGGGGTGGCCCCCCGGCACCTTTCACTCTGGGCTCCGGGAGAAAGGCCGTTGAGGACAGTGAGGACTCAGCCCACACACGGCCCCTCACCTCCCGTGGGTGGTGGCCTGGCTTTGAAGCTGTGTCCGGCCCTGCGAGGCTCGTCCCTTTCGCCGCACGCGAGCCCCCCGCTGTGCCGCCACCAAACAAGCCAGCCCTCCCTGCAGCCGGAACCCCCGGGGCGCCTCTCTCCTGCGAAGTTTCCTTTGCCCTTTTCGCTTCTGGAGAAGCTGCGTTGCTTGCTTCTCCCCGTCTGTCTGGAGAACCCGACTGTCTCCCGAGTGGAGCGTCCAGGGCTCCCCGCTGACCCGCAGAGCCGTGGGCGCTGCCTGCGGGTGGGTGGAGCCGTGACTGTTGTGAGTGTCTAGTCAGCTCGAGGGCGTGCACGCGCTGCAAGAGGGCGAGCGGTGCTGCAGGGAGACGCTCAGCAAACCCTCCAGAGATCTTCTTTCTTTTCTTTAAGCCTTTGCAGAAGGAAAGCGTGGGATTCCCCGGGCTGGCAGAGGCGCCTCGGGGTCCCCGGGGCCGTGTCCCTAGGTGGCCTTCCTCTTTTGGAGGTGCTCCGAGCAGGAGACCTCCTTTGGACACCTTCCCAGGGCTTGGTGGCACCGCGACCCTCTCACCTCCGTGCCCTCGGGCTTCGCTCCTGTTTCCCGTCACCGTGCCCTCCGTGAGGGCGCAGACAAGTCACCCTTTCGGCTGCTGCTCCCACTTGAACTTGGAGCTGTAAGCCCCGGCGGGAGGAAGAGAGAGACGGAAGGGCGCAAAGACTGAAGTCCGCGAAGCGGTGGTTCTGCGCGGTGCCCGTGCCGGGGCTGGAGCCCGGGCCCTGGGCTCCCCCAGTTCACTTCCCCAGCTGGCAGAGGAGGGGGGCCTCTGCGAGGTGGGTCCCTGGCACCGCCGCCTCTGCCAGGCCCCAGGCCGGTGTCACCTGCTTGCCCCTGCCCTCTGGAGCCCAAGTCTGCCAGCCGTGCCCGCGGCCCCCGTGTTCCACCCCGAGTGTCATCGGGGCTCTGTTACCCGGTGGTGAGCCACTCGGGGGGAGGCCCCCACTCCGAAGCCGAGAAGAGAATTCCAGCACAAGGCCCGAGAAGGCTGCCGTGGCGGAGCTCAGAGTAACCAGGCAGCTGATGGCAGTGGCCAGAGGCCCCCGTGGCCGACGGCACCAGCTGTGTGTGTGTCATGTGCACACCGCACGTTCCCTGTCACGTCCGCACCTGCAGTGGCCCCTGCGAGTCGGGCGGGAGGTTTGCAAAAGCACCCTGCCCCCCAACTTTTCGGGTGTTTGCTAAGCCCCGTCTGAGCCACCGAGCCCCATGAATCAGTGGGTGGCCCCAGCCTCACTCTGCCGTGGGGATGCCACAGTGCTCCGCTAGTGCTCCGCTGGCCACAGTGTCCACGACGCCGGCCACGGGGCCCCCTAGGCCCTGATGAGGCCCCAGTAACACTTCTGAGAGGGCAGCTTCTCAGCCCTGGTGAAAGCTGTCCGCTCCAGAAAGCATGAGTTGCACTTGTAACATTTACTCACCTGGGGAGTCTAGGAGATAGGAGGTAGGAAGCCACATGACAGAGGGGGAAACTGAGGCTCAAAGGGAGGAAGTCCCTCGCCCAGGGCCTTCAGTGCTGGGCGGGGCCGGGAAACTGTGTCGTCTGACTCTAAAGCCCACGGATTCAGCACCTCCCTCCCTCCATGCGTGTGTCCACAGACACTGAGGGCCTGCACACCCCTGGCCCTCACCCAGCCCCAGGACGCCCCGAAGAAGAGGGCCCGTCAGTGAGCTGGCCGGAAGACCAAGAGGCTGTGCCTGACGACGGCGTCTCTTGGGAGCAAGCCCCGGGGTGGGTGGGGGAGCAGCTCGTCTGGCCCCCAGAGGAGGAGCCGGCGGGTGTTCCTGCAGCAGCATCTGCCTGAAGCTCTGAAGATCAAGTGAAAAGGACTCCAAAGAAGACTTGGCTGTACAAACAGGCAGACCCTTCCTCAAAAGCTCCAGCCGGCGGCTCATCCCTGTTGGCTGAGAGGCTGCCATTGGCCACAGGGATTCCCTTGAGAAGCTGCCACCTCCTTCCTTTGCCCGGAACAGGCCAGCCGTGGGAGGAGGGGGGGCCGGAAGTGAAGGAGCACAGAGAACGGACTTGCCGCCGGACAGACGGATGGACGCCGGGGTGTCCGAGTTCTCCCACGCGTGCGCCTTCGGTCCCGCCTTCCCCAGCCCGCCGCCACAGCTTTGTAGTTTTGCAGTTGCAGCTGTTTTTATTTGCCGCCGCTGCTGTCGCTTTAAAAGGTCTATTTTCACATGGAATGTTATCCAATTAGCAGAGCAATGTGTCGGCTTAAATAAACACTCGGGGGGAGCCGGCAGCAGGGGACGCGATGGCGGGCGGCGTTGGCAGCAGGGCCGTCCCCGCCGCGGTGCACAGCCGTGGCTCCAACCACAGGGCGGCTCTAGTCGGTGTCGCCTCCCTCGGGTCTCGGTTGTGTATGCCGCCAGGGGAGGGGCGGGGGCCTAGCCCGCTGCGCTGCGGGGGCCGCCCGGCACTTCAGAGGGGCTGCCGTGAGGCCTCTCCCCGCCCACGGCCGTCACCTGGCAGGTCCCACCGAAACAGAACGTGCAGTGGGGAGAGGTGGCGACAAGCGAGCCAGACAGAGCTGCGTCCACCGCGCTGGGCCACGCCGGTCCTCCTCAGACCAGCAGTGGCGAGCGCACAACACGCACGTTTGCTTCACTGAGTGCGAGGAGGCCCAGTGTGTGGACCCTGTGGGAAGGGCCAGGGTCTGCTGGGTGGTCCGCCGGGTGGGGGGGGTCCCTGGGGCGAGGCGTCCCACGCAGCCGTTGTTCGAGACAGGCAGGGCCGTGCAGCGGGCAGCAGCGTGGCCTGTGGAGTCAGAGCCACCTCCTTCCGGCTGGGCGACTGTGGGCCAGGGGCTTCGTGTCCCCAGACCCCAGGTCTCGCGTCCGCACGTGGGAGAGGGTGACAGTGCCCCTTGCTGTGACCGTGAGGGTCAGAGGGTATGCAGTGTGTGCAGGCCTCGTGCAGGCCCAGGCTGTGGAGGCGGCCGAGCGCTCCGGGCCCCCCGGGCCCCCCGGGCCCCCCGGGTCGGAGGTGCTGTGGCTGAAGCCCAGGTATCGGTGGTTCTT